CCCCCCCCCCCCCCCGTTCCTCCATTTCAAGAGGTTTTGCTCAGCAAAAGATCACACACGGAAATGCCCATGGACCACCCTCAAAAACTGTTGGGCTGTTTGGGAGAGGATCTTCTTTTTTATTTTTTAAATTATATTTTGTTTTTTTTGCAGTTAAGCTAATTTTATTTTTTTAAAAAACCAGATTCATCTTTGTTCAATAGTGCTCCCTGTTGTGTAAACATGCGTAGAATGCTTACAGAAGCATTAGTTACGGCCAGACATACGGAGTGAGCCTTGTTATGCAAGGGATTTTGCTATGAGCAAACGATTCCCTTTCTCCCTCACCCCAGGCTTGAAAGTTCTAATTCAGGAAGTGATGTGCTTAACTGGCGGATGAAGGGGCTGTAAAGGAGAAGGCAATGGAAACCACACACACTTGTCCTCATGACATAGAACCAAGTATGCACCTTTAAATCCTTTTTTGAAGGCCAGGTTGCTGGGAATAGTGCACCACTCCAATTGAGTGTTAAGAACAGCCAAAGATACAATATTTCTTGACCCAACGTGTTGGTAGTCTGTGGAACTCCTTGCCACAGGACGTGGTGATGTAATCTGGCCTAGATGCCTTTGAAAGGGGATGGGACAGATTCCTGGTGTGGGGGAGACATTGCAGGTGACAAGCCATAATGGGGATGCAGAATCTTCGGGTTTAAAAGGAAGGGGCCTCCAAATGCCTGATGCAGGGGAGGGGTATCAGGAGACAGGTACCTAGCTGTCTTGTGGGCTATCAGAGTTATCTGGGGGGGGGCAGGTGAGATACAGGGAGCTGGACTAGATAGGCCCTTGGCCTGATCCAGCAGGGCTCTTCTTAGGTTCTTATGCCAGTATAAACTATCAGTAGGATTCTGGACAAATAACTAATGTGACACTAACACAGCTACAGATCATGGTGTGCCTGGATGGTGAAGGTGAGGCTCTGCCCTCACCTAGAGGACTGTTTCTCCTTGGGTCAGTGGGATATGACTGGTAGTATTTTAATGGTCCTGTTCACGAGTCATTAGTTACGGCCAGACATACGGAGTGAGCTTTTCCTGGTCTCCCCTCTCTGTAGATCACCCGCTGAATTTAGATAATCCAAGTACACACCTCTCTCCTTAATAAAAGCAAAGGCAAATACAGCAACATCCCCACCTGCTGACAGTTAAAGCAATAATCATGTTCAGTTTCACAAAGGCAAGAGAGAACAATTTTTAGATGAAATGTTTTGGGTACTGAGGGAGACAGGAATTGCAATACGGCTAGCCCTATACAGAATAAAACTGTCCGTTCCTAAATTTCCTCTTTATTTTCAGTTGGGAATGCCGGGGCACCAGAGATATGCAATTAAAATACTTTTATACCTCTCAGAATGATGAGCTTTGTTTATGCCTAGCATGGAAGACCTCCAGTTGTTGCAAAGCATGAACAGACAGATAGCCATGTCCACACTCGCTGTGTGAGAATTTAAACGCAGTCCATCATTTAAATCCATCTCTGTATTGATGACAATACCCTTACAAACAATAGGGGCAACAGTGATTCTAGTGGCTAGCAGTGTGAAACCTTGTTGTAAAACTGTTGTCAAATTGTACAGATTATAAATATTATTCTGGATTAAGCTCAGCAGTTTAGGTATCTGGCTGTGGAGGTTGGGAGCTCGATTCCCCACTGGGCATCTCCAGG